TGTGGGGGTACATGATGAAGAGACGTCGGCAGTAGAACGCGAATCAGCCGACGTCTTCTGGTGAAGCTGACCTACGAATATCTTCATCATGTACTCCCATACGAAATGAAAACATTCACATTAACCAAAGTTTATGGCAGAAGGCTCAATTCAATTTATTCATATTAATTACATTTTCCTTAAGCATCAAACGAACACTTATAAGTATCCGAATATTTTGCCCAATCTCTTCTGTGGGCAGAGTAAAGGGATTGAATGGTTTTTTCATTCAATAACTAGCACATTTTAAGATTCCTATGCATAGAATAAAGGATAGAAGCTGATCACGGGAAGGGAGGATTAATTCGTCCACTTGTTTGTGTCAAGATCTGTTTTTGGAAAAGCATATTCCATAAACCCCGACTCACGTGCTTTGCAGGGATCCAGATACAAATTGTCTGGATATTTAGAAGACAAATCTCTTTCTGGTTCGAACACCATTTCTTCTATCCGCGGCGCCTTTCTACCTACTCCTCGATGCCATTGAACTGCTTCTACGGCCGTGTGAGACTCAACTATGTCATGTCTGCCGCCGGGGGGCGAAGGAGTCGCATTCTTTCGGAAGGCCTCGTACTCCAGCTCATGTAGACCTCTTTCTCCGCCTATTCGGCTGTCAGCAGCAAAACCGTCTCGAGCCATGGGGTCCAGCAATCTTGGCAACAGAGGCGTATCCAAGCCCTGAGGCGGTTCACCCGGAGCCACAGTTGACCCGGTTAGACGACTGAGAGTAAGGAAAACTAGTAGCAGAATAGGTATCCTGGGCCAAGGCATCGCAGAGGAAGGCGGAAATGAGACGGAAGATTTTGAAGTGAAGGTTGAGGGGAAGTTAGTCTCCTGAAGCGGAGATTGAGACACCTCTGGACTACAACTGTGCATTTTCTCACTCTTGTTGGTCTTCATTAGTTACAGGATATTCTGCGAAGACTGAAAAATCGTGAGTCTAGTGGAAGTGAAGAGATAAGAAATTGTCTTCTAAGCTATATCATCGCTTATGTTCTGACGCCAAGCCTGGGCCGAACTGACCTCGCCGGTCGGTGTGCACATACAAGCTTGAAAGAATACAATGCTAACTGTTTTTACGGTAGAGTGTGGGTGAAGCGGTGAACAAAATAGGAATCGGCTGGTTCCCAGAACGAACCTCACCGAGGGGACCGAGAGAAGTGTAAATCCGGAAAACTCACTTTCGGACTGGACATCAGCGGCCCATGATGTGCGAACAGCTGAGGCCAGACCGACTGGAAAACAGCTCGTCCAGTTGTGGATACAGAGAGGCTCGTTACTGACATGTAAACAGCCAGACAGATCAGAAGTTTGCTGATTCGTTGTTGCAACACCTACCCGAGCACACACATGTACAGGCAGATGATGGGCAATAGTTGGCACGTTAGAGCAATACCCACGTGATTGGATAGGAACACACTTACTCACGAGGCCCATGTGCAGCAAGCCAACCCAATTCAAGGCTGTCCTTCCACTAAAATGTGGGGGGGGTGGGGTGACGGGACGGCATGGTGACACGAGTATGTCCGTCTGCCTCGTCATGTCAACCAGGTGGCCTTAACCACTCAGGACCACATGAGAGGGGTCAGCTCGTGCCGGAGATAGAAGGTAATTCAGACAGCCAGACCACCGAGACCCAAAGCACAGCAACCAGGCCTCAGACACACAGGCTAGCATACATGGGCATGCACACGATAGAGCGTAGAGATAAACAGCAAAATTGGGGGCGATAGAGCGAGAACACGTAGCAGAGGCTAGGCCTCACTAAGGCCAGAAGTGCAGGTGAATAAACAGAGCGATAAATATCGAGGCATGGATAGATGCATAGATGAAGCACATACCTTAAAGGAACACAATAAAAATATGATAAAGTAATACTTTATTTGATAACTAGACACAGAGACTTGTACAGCAAAACAAGCGGATGCTGAAATAGTCTGGAAACTAGGGCAAAGGCCATAAGTAGCCACGGCAGCAAAGATAATTGAATTTGCCCAAAATACTATGAGCAAGGCTCACAGTGCCTCTAAAAAGGACTGAAATACTATTTATCCCTCACCTGAGTCTTATCCACACCCCAAACGGGAATCGAACCCGGGCAGAGCAGTGTTTATTTTCGTCATTTTTCCAGAGGCGAAATGAGTTCAAGTAAATTTTCCTATTTGATATAAGAAGACTAACTGGGTTTCCATGACCCACTTGAGACCAAATGGTTGTAGAAACTTTAATTTCATATGAAAGTGCGTGATGAATAGATTCGTAAGCCAATCTTTCCAGTAGACGATTAGTGATTTTCGTTGTACAACGGCCGTTTGGGTTTAATACGAAGTACAGGCTGACACAATCTACGAGACATCCTCCTTTGGTTTGGCTCAATTATATGATGGACTCATTCCTTCAAAAATCACAAAGCATAGCCGCTCCATCCTACATTCTATATTTACCCACAACTTTAAACGAAAATGTGTAGTTT